GTGGGGTGGGAACTGGGTGGAGGGGAGCTATGGGGGGAAAAAAGAGGAACAGCTGTAATAATCTGAACAATAAAGATTTAATTTAAAAAAATAAAAATAAATAAATAAATAAATTATTGCCCAGCCAGTGTGGGTCAGTGGTTGAGCGTTGACCTATGAATTAGGAGGGCTTAATCCTCAGTAGGGGGCATGCAAGAGGCAGCCAATCGATGATTCTCTTTCATCATTGATGTTTCTATTACTCTCTCCCTCTCCCTTCCTATGAAATCAATAAAAGTATATATTTTTAAAAATTACCTAAATTAAGACAAAAGGCTCAATTTCTAGTTAATGTAAGTCTGAATGTGTTGTTATTAAAAAAGAAAAAGCAGGGCGAAGCAAACAGAAATGGCTGCCAGTCAACCCTGCTACTGAAGAGGTCCCAGCATAGGAACAATGATCCCTGCGTGTACCTCTGTCTGGGAGAAAGCCACCCCGAGTTCCTGCCCAGATGCTAGACAATCCAGTTCCTCCTCGTATGTGTCTGTGTTCCCCAGAGCCTCACCCTGGTTCTGGAGCTCAGAGGAAGTGTGACTTCATGTGCATTCCAGTACAATGGACTCTCCTTCGTCTACCTCATCTACCTCTTGCTCATCCCTCTGTTTTCAGAACCAACAAGAGTGACAATGCAAGGTGTATGACAACATCTGAGTGAATCCCCCACAGACATATCCACCCTGCTGACGGTGACACTTGACTTTCTGACATGTAACTTCCTCTCAGGCTCTCAGAAGGTCCACATCTGCTGGGCACAGCTCATTCCTGCCCCTACCCTCCACCCCCCCCCCCGCCCCACCAAAAAAAAAGAAAAAAGAAAAAGCACTTCATCTTGTTTATGCATTTTACATTCTCAAAAAAAGATTAAGTTATAAAATATAAACTATTACCTTTATGATTGTTATATAATGGAACTCGAGAGGGGCTTTCCAATCTAAGTACTTTTGCTACAGGTCTCACTGGACTACTCAGAGGACTAATGATTTCTGGAATAGGTCTTAGGTGATTAAGGTCAATGCTCAGAACCGAATTCTCATCATTATATACTGAGTTTGTTTCACCAATTTCCATTTTGTGGTCCATTAACTCAGTATGCTGAAGTGAAGATTTTAGAGTCTCTTTAGGTAAACAAGGCTCCAGATGACAAGACTCACTCTCAACCAGTGGTGTTTCTACAAGAGAAGGCTCGAACTTTGGATTACCAACTTCTGAAAGGACTACTGGCAAAATGTCAGCTTTTTCAATTGAAGGCTGCAAAATGCTTTCATTGGATTTGGCAACTTTTGTTGAAAAAGCCTCCTTCATTTCCGTAACTTCAGAAATATTACACAAATTTAAACTGTCATTTCTTTTGGTATCCAATTCCATGCCAAAGTTTTGAGAAACATTTGTTTGTAGTATGTCCAGTGCCACAGGTACTGCTGTCCTTGTACCATTAATGGTTTGTTCCATTTCTGCTGCTGAAGGAAACAAAGATCCTGCTTGTTCCATTTCCACAGGTACTGAAGAAGAAGTCTCTGTACCACAAATGGGCAAGTCACACTGCGTAGTATTCTCAACAGATTTAATTAACAAACTATTTTCTTCTTCCGTTTTCCTTTCCAGAATACTGGTCCTGGGTTCAGATGATGCTGTTGCAAGAGCATCTTCTGGTTCCAATAACTTTGATTTGGTTTCCTCTGTGATATGTTCACTCACAGAGGGAACACATATCACTGTTTTATCCTGTACCAAGGACTCTAAATCACATATGCCACTGGATTTGGGAGTATTGGTTATTTTATGCTGATTATTCTGAGGAATAGGCTGCTTTTTAGCAGGAGAAAGAGTTAAGTTCAATTTTTCCATAAAACTCAACTTTAAGTCTTTGTTTTTTGTTTCATTTGGACCACTCTCGGCTTTAATTGCAAGGTCTTTATTATCTGTGCGTTCAGAAACATCATTATTAGAAACTTCACCTTTATCATTTTTCAGTCCATTCTGTCTCTTTAAATCAGTAGTGGTTTGCTTGGTTTCTTTGTTAATCTTCTGCAAATGTCCCATAGATGTTCTTTTTTCACTTCTCATATACCTGTTTTCTTCTTTGCTTTCTTGTTCTCTTTTCCTCTTATCTTCAGTTCTATGCCTTTCTGCTTCTAAAGGTGTATTTCCCCTTTGGTGCACAGCATCAACTTCCTTGGGGTCAATGTGTTTGTGAGTTCTACTGGTTGAAAGGGAGGATGAACATCTTCCTTCTTGAAAACTATGATTACTTACACCCCGGTCTCTTTTACCATCTTCCCTGTCTCTTCTGTCTTCTAGATGGTATTTACTTGAATTATGAGATTTTATTTCATTCTTAGAATGAGGAAGAGATGATACTCGTTCAGACCTTCGCCAATAATCTTGGTCTTTTACTACTGATTTGGGTTTTTGATCAACTTTTCTTTCTTCTTTGTCTTGTGATTTAAGTTCTTTTTTATTTATATTTTGTGATCTTTCACTTTGCCTCTCTAGTTTTCTATCGCTCTGAGATTCTACTCGAGTATGTGACCTCTCTCTAAAGGTCTCCTTCTGCCAGGAACAGCCAAAGCGTTCATTTTTATAATCCAAATCTGTGTTACTTTTAAACTTTGAATTTTTGCTTTCAGTCTTTGATTCACTTTTACCATATTTCTCAGAACGTCCTTGTAGCCTTGGACTGGCCTCTGAGTTCCTTGGTTCACCATCACCACAGCTAGTGTTTAAGTCTTTTCGTATTCTATCAGTTCCTCTACTATAATAGCTATATCCACTATCTTTCTTCCCTCTTCTATTATCCTCACTTGAGCTACTCTCACCAACCTGATAATGGGAACGTGACCAAATGCCATTGGTGCAGTGTTTTTCAATAGATGAAGGCAAATGCAAAGTGCTTTTTTTTTCCAAATGCGGTTTTACTTCCTTTTCGATGTTTGGGAGTGAAGTGCTATGATGTCCATCTTTAGAAATATCACATTGCACCTTGTGATCAGTCTTTGCACAATCATCCAAATGGGGAGGTCTGGATGTAAAGTCTTTTGTTTTAACTATATCTGACGTCCTTGCAGTTTTACGATTATTTCGAAAATGTGGAAACTCAGACAATCTATTAAGAAATAGAAATTAACAACAACAAAAAATTATTGCTTTTTAATAATCTAAATTTTAATCACATGTAATACACTTTAAAAGTCAGGGGCTCACATACTAGAAACACTAATTTTACTTTGTATAAAGGCATGAGTAGTAAGAAGTTACCAGCTTCCAACTAAATGGGCCAGTTTTCAAACCATGGAACTCTCTTTCATTTCTCTTTTCAAACAAGCTCTGGAGAATGTCTCAGTTCTATCCTAGCACTTGCCAATGTCTTTTAGACTTTCTTCACGACAGGCATAGAACTCCCAAACTAACCACAAATTCACTTCTTTTAGAACAGTGACATGATTTTTTACCCTCACTCACTGTAGGCCAACTGAAACAGAAGGAAGATGAAACTGTGGGAAAACAGAGATGACCTGTTTTACATATAATCCCACAGTAAACCAAAGCATCAATAGCCATCTTAAAGTAGCACATACTGCACAAAGAAAAAGAATAAAGAGTTGTCATTCTTTCCTAAGGAAATGGTATTTATTGTTTTGTGCGTTTTTTAAAAAATCCTAAGTCTTAAAGTTTTATATTAATGTTTCGGAAAATTAGCAGTTTTCTTAACAAGTATGTAAATAACTAATTTTAATTTTTTATAATAAGTCAATCTTCCTGAACTTCCTTCCAAAACTTCCCTGAATTTCCACAAATCTACTCCCAATTAGTACTATGTGTAGAGAACAGGAGGAGATTTTTATACAACAAAGGAGAACATAGGAGATATACAACCTAAGGCAATGAGTAGAACTTATATGGATCTTGTTTGATTGCACTGTATCCCCTCAAAATTCATTTGTTGAAATCCTAATCCCCAGTTCTTCAAAATGTGGTCTTATTTGGAGATAGGGTCTTTACAAAAGTGCCCTGGTTTGGGCAATAAATTAAATGGTCATTCTACACCTAGGTCTCTAACGTACACCAGCTGAATGAATGATAGGAAATCTATTCAGCTCAATGAAAGAGATTTGATCATAAATTCAGTTTTGGATGAGATAATTTTTAAAATTTTATACAGATGTGAAGTAGTAATCTACATATAAATGGAAATGACCTAGGATGAGTAAGATTACTTCATCAGAAAATACTGACAGACATAGATAAGCTTTGAGGAATTCCAACTTAGCCAAGTACAGAAGAATAAATCTCAACTTAGGAAGAAAACTAAAAATTATGAAAGCCAAAGGGAGAAAACTATTTCAGGAAAGGAGGGTCAACTATGTCCAAGAGCATATGAGTATCAGTTAAAATGAGAAGTCAAAATTACTTGATGTATTTAGTGGTAGTTAGTGTTAACCAAATGATAACTGTTTCAATGGACAAATGGAAACAAGTCAGCATGTATTAGGTTCGAGAGTAAGTAGAAATAGGAAATTGAGACAGGAAGTTTATATATTGTTTGGGGGTTTGACTACAAAGGAGAAGAGAGATATTCTCTGGAACAGATTATTAGCCCCAACGAGAGAGAGAGAGAGAGAGAGAGAGAGAGAGAATCCATTTGAGAGAGAAAAGAATATACAATTGAGAGATAGTTTCGGGGTTATCTACTGACTAGAGTCCCAGTGCACAAAAATTTGTGCACTCAGGGGGGTCCCTCAGCCCTGCCTGTGCCCTCTCGCAGTCCGGGACTCCTTGGGGGATGTCCACCTGCTGGCTTAGGCCCGCTCCCCGGGGAAATGGGCCTAAGCTGGCAGTCAGATATTCCTCTGGCAGCCCGGGAACCCTAGGGGGATGTCCACTTGCCAGGGGGGAGCAGGCCTAAGCTGCATTCGGACATCCTTAGCGCTGCTGAGGAGGCGGGAGAGGCTCCCACCACCACCGCTGTGCTGGCAGCTGGCAGCCTGGCTTGTGGCTGAGCAGAGCTTCCCCTGTGGGAGCGCATTGAGCGCCTGCCCCCTGGTGGTCAGTGTGTGTCATAGTGACCAGTCATTCCCAGTCATTCTGCTGTTAGGGTCAATTTGCACAATTTGCATATTACCCTTTTATTATATAGGATAAGAGATATGAGCACAGATGCACTTTTGATACTTTAGTAATTTAGTGGGGGCTTAGAAGGACCCATAACACATATACAACCATCTTCTCAGGAGTAAAGAATACCAGAGAAAGATCCCAGTATATTGAAAACTGAATATATTCAGAGGTATGTGGCAATATTCTACTTAATAATCATATATGTCATTATAATATACCATTATAATATACCATTAGTCACTTACAGTAAAACCGTACATATTTAATAAAATGCATCACTTTTATATCTTTGCAAAGTTAAAAATGTTACACATATCAATACCGATGTAATTTATAGATCCAAACCTCTCAATTATACCTTTGGTGAAGGCTACTAATTTCTTCATCCTTGCGGTGTATTTCCATTCTAGCAGTTTTGATAAGTGCCGAAATATTCTTCTTAAGAGACTGGTTTTCAGTTTTTAAGCTGAAATTCTAAACATCATAAAATATATTTAATAAAGTATATATTATAGGATTATTAAACTACTACTTATAATAGCTAATGATTATTGAATGCTAACTACATGCCAAGCATCATATATTACATCTTATATAATTCTCAAGAAAGTCCTATGAGAAGTGCTATTATGCTCATCATACAGATGGGGCAGCTGAGATTCAGAGAAGATAAATGGCACCAGAGAAAGTCATTTAAAGTGAAACTACTTAAAATAGGAATCAAAATGAAAAAAACACACACACAAATAAAAAAAGTTCTCCCAGGGCCATTATCTTGAAAACTAAAAATAAAAATGATAAAAATTAGGTTATATTTAACAACTTAGCTTTAATGTGCAACAATATAACTAATTCTCAGATGAACAAAGAATGAATCTAGCCCTGGCCTGTTTGGCTCAGTGGATAGAGCATCAGCCTGCGAACCGAAAGGTCCCAGGTTCGATTCCAGTCAACGGCACATGCCCAGGTTGTGGGCTTGATCCCCAGTGGGGAACTTGCAGGAGACAGCCAATCCATAATTCTCTCTCATCATTGGATCTATCTCTCTCTCTTCCTTCCTCTCTGAAATCAATAAAAACATAAAAATATTTTTTTTTTTTTTAAAAAAAGAATGAATCTAGAATTGACTGGTTCTTTGGGGGAAACAGAAAAGAGAAACATTACTAAAAAATAAAAATAGGAACAAAACACGACATTCCTGATTTTTGCAGCATGATCACAAAATCACGTTGGCAAAAATACTAAGAGCATCACCATTTTCCCCAACAGCCATTCTAAGTCTTTACTCATCAAACCGTTCTCTTTTAAACCAACTAATCTCATCTCTACAAATTTTCTATTATTTAACTGGTAACTAGCTAACAGATCTTTTATGTAAATGTCATTTAACAAATCAAGCAGTTTTCCTTCATCAGTTGTATAGGAAATTATGCATGTTTTGACAGATTTTCTATTTCATTTAATACTAAGAAGAAAATTTCCTTATAAAATGCCAACGCTTTAGAATTTTAATTTCTAAGCAATTTTTTTTATTTTAAAAGTTAATAGGACAAAAAATAAAATATTCATTATAATAGTACCTGTGTCTGTATTTCCTTAAACTTTTTCATCAGCTCTTTCATTTGTAGCTGACATTTTCCATATTTTATTTGCAACTGTAATATATAAGAAGATTAATTTAAGCATCATTCTAAACTATTTTCTTAGCTTAAATGACATTTTAAAATATTTAAAATTTTATAAATCAACCACTAAAAAGGGGAGATGAGGTCTAGTTCTGCTCACAGGGATTTAGTAAGATTACTGGTTTTAAAGTTGGACTTAAACACAGACAACAGTATGGTGATTACAAGAGGGGAAGGGCGTCGGGTAGGTGGAAGAGGGTAAAGGGAGAATAAATGGTGATAAAGAGAGACTTGAATTTGGATGGTGAACACAGAATACAATATATAGATGTTGCATTATAAAACTGTACACTTGAAACCTATATAATTTTATTAGCCAATGTTACCCCCAATGAATTCAATAAAAATTTAAAAATAAATAAAGTTGACCCTACCAATAATGTATTTTGTTTGGTTTCAGATTCACTCTCCAAACCTTAAATTCAAATAAGGTAGAAAGAAATTTCTAATTTAAGTCTTAGGACATCTTATAACTTAGTACAAATCATGAAAAGATAAAATGTTATATCACACTGATTGTTGATGTTTTATATATTTAGAGACTTAAATTTAATCAAACAAAATTATAACTAAATTTAGACAAGCATTCAGAAAACATTATTTAAAGAGCAGATCTAAAGACAGAAACTGACTTAAATATTCTTTTAGCCTAAGAGTTCCTTCCTAAACACAGAATGTTTGTCCAAAAGTAAGTGAATGAGTGTAAAGAGCTATAAAAGTGTAAAATAACTGTCTTTAATAATTCTGGCAACCCATACATCATTATATGTTGCCTCCTTTGCAGTTCCTTCTTCAGTAAGAATTTCTTCATACAAATCCAAACAATTTCTGGATGGTTCACAGGACTTGGAAGAACTATCTAAAACAAACAAACAAACAAAAAGAAAACCTTATATTAAAATATGTCTTTCCAGAGTCAATGCAATACCATAAAAATTCCAATGTCATTTTTCACAGAAATACAACAATCGTAAAATTTGTATGCAACCACAAAGACTACAAATAGCTAAAGCAATCTTACAAAAGATAAAGCTGAAAGTATCACAATTTCTGATTTCAAACAATAGTACACACCTACAGTAATCAAAACTATATGTATTGGCATAAAAACTGACATATAGAGCAAGGAACAAAACAGAAAGCCCAGAAATAAGCTCTCACACATATAGTCAATTAATTTATGACAAAGAAGCCAAGAATATACAATGGAGAAAGTTAGTCTCTTCAATAAAGAGCCTGTTCCATTCAAAACTGAACAACCACATGCAAAAGAATAAAACTGGATCCCTGTCCTAGCCGGTTTGGCTCAGTGGATAGAGCGTCAGCCTGTGGACTGAAGGGTCCTGGGTTTGATTCCAGTCAAGGGCACATGCCCAGGTTGCGGACTCAATCCCAGGTGGGGGGCGTGCAGGAGGCAGCCGATTGATGATTCTCTCTCATTGTTGATGTTTCTCTTTCTCTTTCCCTCTCCCTTCCTCTCTGAAATCAATACAAATATATTAAAAAAAACAACAACAAAAAAACAACTGGATCCCTATCTTACACCATATGCAAATATTCAACTCAAAATGGATTAAAGACTTAAATATAAGACCTGAAACCATAAATCTCCTAGGGGGTGAAAAGACAGGAGGTAATGATTTTTCTGGATTTGACACTAAAAACAAACACAATGAAAGCAAAAATAAACAAGTGGGACTACATCAAATTAAAAAGCTCCTGCACAGCAAAAGAAACCTTCAACAAAATGAAAAGGCAACCTACCCAATGGAAGAAAATATTTGCAAATTACTTATCTGATAAAAGTTTTAATACCCAAAATATATAACGGCTGGTGTAGTTCAGTGGTTGAGGATAGGCCCAGAAACCAGGAGGTCAGTTTGATTCCTGGTCAGGGCACATGCCTGGGTTTTGGGCTCAATCCCCAGTGGAGGGCATTCAGGAGGCAGCTGATCAATGATTCTCTCTCATCACTGATATTTCTATCTCTCTCTCCCTCTCTCTTCCTCTCTGAAATCAATAAATAGAAGTGAAAACAGGACCTTACAGAGATGTCTGCACTCTGTATGTCCACTTTGGCATTATTCACAATAGGCAATATATAGAAAAAACCGAAATGTCCAACAATGGATGAATGGATAAAAAAGGTATGTGTGCGTGTGTACAACACAATGGAATTATTAGTCAGTCATGAGAAAGAAGGACATTCTGTCATTTATGACAACATGGACCTTGAAGGCATTATAGTAAGTGAAATAAACCAGAAAAAGACACACACTGTATGATATCACTTCCATGTGGAATCTAAAAAAGCCAAATGCACAGAAACAGAAACTAGAACAGTGGTTAGCTGGAGGTTGGAGTGAGGAAAAAGATATGTTGACCAAAGTACAAACTTCCAGTGTAAGATGAATAAGTTCTGGTGAGCTAATATACAGCATAGTCATTAGAGTTAATAATACTGTATTACATAATTGAAAGTTGCTAAGAGAATCTTAAATGTTCTCACCACAAAAAAAGACAGTAATCATGTAATGTGATGCAGGTGTCAGCTAATTCTATGGTGGTAATCATTTTGCAATACACAAATGTATCAAATCAACACATGTACTCATTAATCTTAATTTTATGTCAATTACAACTCAATAAAGGTGAAGAAGAAAGAAATGTGTTTAAAATTTTGGATGTTGTGTCTATCACAACTCAATGAACTATACATTTCTCCATCTCCTGCATTTCATCCATATTTATAATGATTTGACAGATTAGAGTTGGAAAAGCAATTTACCTAAAATGCTATGTCAACAAATCAGGTATGAGGGTGATATGTGTTCAAAGCCTTAGAGATTTGATCATGGAAAAGCATGGAAAAGGTTTCCAATTTGGATAGGTCATGAGGCTCTCTGCATATCACAATCTTACTGATATATTTGAAAATATTTATAGTAACTATCCTTTTCAAAAGTCCTAGTATCATGTAACCTGTCATAGTATGAGTAGTAATATGTACAGACAAGACCATCAGTTGCTTTTCAATGGTACAAAATATTTTTGCACAATGTAGTTAAATCTGAGACCTAGATGAATAACAAACCTGAGCACTAAGTTGTTTTACTGATCAAGCTTTGGGCAAGAATACAATTACCTAAGTGTAATCATTTCAAAAAAATGGGCAGATTGTTCAGGATCTATGAGTTATTCTAGAAATTAGTAACAAAATAAACACTTTCAATAGACTGACCAAACAAAATGAAACTATTTCATGTACCGGTGGGGGGGTCCCTGGGCGTGGCCTGTGGGGATCTGGCCGAAACCCGCAGTCCAACATCCCCTGAGGGATGTAGTAGTACGAGAAGCAGCAGGCAGCCAGGGAGGAGCCGGAGCCAAGGCCGGGTGCCATGCCGCTTCCGTTCATCCCGGCCCCACTGCCACTCAGTAGGCTCGCTGACATTCCGCTGCAGTCTCCATGCACCCATCCTAGGGCGATACCGGTGCACCCATGACTGAGAAGGGGCCACGGGCTTGCTCCTGGTCAGTCCTGATGCCAGTCCTGGTCCAGATGGGGGAGGGGCGCACATGGGGAGTGTCGGTGGGAGAGGCTCGCGCCACAGCAGCTGCGATCGCCAGCCTGTTACCCCGTCGTCTGGCGCCCAGCTGTCAGCTGAGCAGCATCCAGCTGTAGGAGCTCACTAACCACGAGGGGGCAGCTCCTGCATTGAGCGTCTGCCTCCTAGTGGTCAGTGCGCGTCATAGCGACCAGTTGAACTGTCGATTAGGCTTTTATATATAGAGAATAGATTTACATACCAGAAACAGCACTGTCCAACCCAGCATATATGTCCAGAGAACCTTCATCATTATTTTTAAGAGGAGAAGCTGCAAGAAAATTAAATTAAAGACTAGTTAAAACTAATTTATTTCACTTAGGGGAGCTTTTTTTTTTTTTAGTTATCACTGTGTCTTTATTTCTATTCTCTACTATGAAAAGTTCTCCTAGGGAAATTTTTTCCATTCCTACTTTGAGGAACCAGGAAAAGAAAGAGACCCTATTAGTATTGCAACAAAAAATAATTATTTTACAGTTTATTCAGCCTTATAAACAGGAAGATCTTAGCACATAGGTTTATGACTCTATTACCTCAGAAGTATACTTAAAAACTCACTTTCAAAACATACTAGGGAGAAGGTTCCAATTTCAGTAATATCAAAGTAGTGTCTATCAGACCACTCCTCTTGCAGACGACTATAAACTTTAAACAAAATATTAAAAGTTATCTGCAGTCAAATGCTCTACCACTAAACTTATTTGGTATCATTTTGCAATATATGCAAATAGCAAATCATTACTGTGTACACCTGAAACTAATATGTCATATGTAAATTATACCTCATTTTTAAAAAAAGCTATCTGAAGAACTGAAGAACTAAAGAGCAACCCAAAACATGGAATAACTAGAAGGGAGATAATACTTAAAAGAAGAAAACACCACTGTGTGAGTTCCCTATCCCCCTTCTATTACAATTTTTTGTGGAAGAACAGGTCCTACCTAGTTGGAGCCACACTGCACAGTGAAAACTCAGATGGAAAACTCTAGTCCTAACAGGTTGAAGAATCAGAGAAAAAATTTCAGAAGTGGTAACAGCAACTAGAAAGTAATAGAGGGGATTCCCCAAATTGTGCCCAAATCTCTGAGAGACCCCCAAACATTTAGGTAATTGTATTCTTGCCCAAAGCTTGATCAGTAAAACATGTAGGGTCTACATGGTAAAGATTGAAACTGCAAAAAGTCCAGCTAAAACTAAAAAATCTGATCAGAGATTTCAGCTGCTACCCACCACAGGGAAGACAGATAGTTCAGTCAGGTTAAATACATGCTAAAATTTAAAATAAGCAACTCTTCAGAGAAATAAATATAGCAGAATCCAATGTCTCTACAAACATAGCATTTACAATATCCAGAATGCAATTCAAAATTACTACAAAGGAAATCTTGGTAGAGAAATAGAAACAAAAGAATCAAATTAAAAGTCCTAAAACAGAAAACTATAATATCTAATGTAAAAAAATTCATTGAATGTGCTTTTGACAGAAGAGCCAGTGAACTTAAAGAAAGAAAAATAAATAAAAAGTACCCAATCTGAAGAACCAAGAGGAAAAGAAAAACAAAACAGTCTTAATATCCTACAAGACAGTATCAAAAGTTCTCAGTGGGGGGTGAGGGGTGATAGAAGAGGGTAAAGGGGGGATAAATGATGATGGAAGGAGACTTGACTTGAGGTGGTGAACACACAATACAATATACAGATGATGTATTGTAGAATTGTACACCTGAAACCTATATAATTTTATTAACCAATGTCACCCCAATAAAGTCTATAAAAAATAAATTAAAAAAAAGAAAAAGTTCTCACATATTATATATCTGGATTCCCAAAAGAAAAAAGAGAGAATGGAGAAGAAAATAATACTAAGACTAGAAATGGTAAAATTAGTAAACTTAAAGATTAACTATTTTCTCTTAATTTATTTTAATTCCTCTTAATTTCTTTAAGACACATAGAACAATTTAAAATAAAAATTATAGCATTGTATTGTGGGGTTTATGACATCTTTAACATAGGGGATGGATGGAGATTAAATGCAGCTATAAGTACAAGATTACATCTTATATGAAAAAGTATAATACACTGCAAATGTTAAAGATGCATATTACAAATCCTTATGCAACCACTAAAAATAATACAGAGGTATAGCCAAGAAACTAATACATGAATTAGAATGGAATTCTAAAATATATTCAAATATTTGAAAGAAGCATGAAAGTCAGAAAGAAAAAAATCATGAAGACAAACTAAAATATTAATATAAGATATAAATCCAATCACAATAACAAAGGACATTATTGGGTTATCAGAATAAAAATTGCAGATTGAGTATTGTTATCAGTGTAGAATTTACTGAAATTGATATTTTGCTGTTATTATGCAATAAAACCAACTTTTTCTTACAAAATACACAATGAAATATTTGGGAATAAAGACCATAATACATATAACTTAATCTCAAATGGGTCAGGAAAAATTGTGTGTATGTGTATTTATAGAGTATGGCCCTAGCAGGTTTGGCTCAGTGGATAGGGCTTCAGCCTACAGACTGAAGGGTCCCGAGTTTGATTCAGGTCAAGGGCACATGCCCAGGATGTGGGCTCGATCCCCAGTAGGTGGTGTGCAGGAGGCAGCTGATCAATGATTCTCTCTCATCTTGATGCTTCTGTTTCTCTCTCCCTCTCCCTTCTTCTCTGAATAAAAAAATGTATATATAAAAAAAATAGAAAGAGAGTATATATACACAGCAATAAAGCCACTGGTATAAAATATTAATAAAAGGCAAATTTGGAAGAAACTAGGTAAATGGTATTTTGTTTTCTTAAAAATACATTTTATTGATATTTTACAGAGAGGAAGGGAGAGGGATAGAGAGTTAGAAACATCAATGAGAGAGAAACATTGATTAGCTGCCTCCTGCACACCTCCTACTGGGGATGTGCCCGCATCCAAGGTACATGCTCTTGACTGGAATCGAACCTGGGACCTTTCAGTCCGCAGGCTGACGCTCTATCCACTGAGCCAAACCGGTTAGGGCGGTAAATGGTTTTTTATATGTTCTTATTCTTGCAATTTTTCTGTAACCTTGAAATTATTTCCAAACAAATATAATAAAAACACAATTATGAAAATGTTAAAGGAATAAAATGTTTCATGAAATCATGTTAAGTGGTAAAAAGTAAAATACACACTGGGACTGTAGCTACTGAAAAATATATGTATGTAGACAGGAACTTGTGAAAGAATAATATTGTAGAAATAAAAACAGCTATTTCCAGCAAATGGGATTAACAATGTAGTTTGTCCTTCACAATAATAAGAGTTGCAGATGTAGCAAAAGTTAACCATTTGTGAATAGACGTAAAAAGTAAAAGTGTTGATTATATTATACTTTCAATTTTTCTGTTGGTTTAAAATATCTCGAAGAAAAATATCATAAGAGAAATATATACCAGCATAAAAATTTGAAACTACAAAAAATAATTACATAACACCAAAAAAAATAATACTATCCAGAGCAGTTATGTTGGCCATATTTTATGTGAATCTTTCCATATTTATGAATAATAATTTTTAAAAATATGTACTTGAGCAAAAATAGAATTCTACTAGACATGTTTTACAACTGTCATTTTCACTATAGCATAGTAATTATAATTCTAGTCAATATACTCTTATTTGTAATTTCAAAAAATGTAATTAGAATTAATTACAATTAAGACGAAAGAACTAGTAAATGTTACATCAGGATCTGGAAGTTTACATTGCACATATTACTTAAAATATTTCCATTTTATAAGCTTATTTTACTACTATGCCTTGATTATCTTTCATAGTGTCAATTTCCCCCTGAACAACAATAAACAAGCACCACTGCAATTACTGAAAGTATTCACTTCAAGAGTAACGAATACCTATCTTATACTTTTTTGGATATAACAGTAAAAATCATTAGGACTTAGATTTGCAAAGTTGCTAATTCATTACATTTAAGAGGCTTGAAAGAATTCAATAACTAAAAGTTCACATTTGCTAGGCACTTCCTATTTACCAGGCACTTTATTGTATTAATTCATTTATGTGTGGAGAGAAAAAGTTGATAATCGGTATTTTCAATGAGAACAAATAAATGGTTTTGTAATTAGATAAATTTAGAAAAACAATTACAATAAGCTCTTACCTGAGAAGACATCAAATAAACTTGTTCCATCACCATTTTCATCATCTGCTGCCATGATCCTATTTCCTTTTGATAGTTGCCATCTAAAGTATTAAACATAAAGATTTTCTACTGTTAAAAAAACAACATAATTCAAAGAATAAACCTAGCTTTAAGTTAAAAAGCAACTTCCAAATTTGGACACACTCACACTGAATGAGTTCACTCTGTCATGATTACAAAAAAAAGCCTAACATTTTCCAAAAGGTAAGATTATAAAACAAAAATATTAAACTTGACGATGTGGTTAAGCCATGTCACAATGTGAATGATGCTAATTTAATAAAACAGACCAAACTACAAATTAACGTTTATACTCAAATTAGAGGCCCGGTGCACGAAATTAGTGCACTGGGGGTGGGGGGGGGGCGCGCGCGCGCGGGTTTTCTCAGCCTGGATTTCGAGAGGGCGCAGGCCAGGCCAAGGGACCCCACCAGTGCACAATCGGGGCCGGGGAAGGACACGTTAGGTTGGCCAGCTGGGGAGGGACCGCGGGAGGGCTCCAGGGCGTGCCTGGCTCGTCTTGCTCAGTCCCGATCGGGCCGGACCCCAGCAGCAAGCTAACCTACCGGTCAGAGCGTCTGCCCCCTGGTGGTCAGTGCATGTCATAGTGACTGTTTGACTGTCTGCCCCCTGGTGGTCAGTGCACGTCATAGCAAGCAGTTGAGCGGCCTTAGCATATCATTAGCATATTATACTTTGATTGGTTGAATGGCCGACCGGACAACCGGACACTTAGCATATTAGGCTTTTATTATATAGGACAAGCCAACTATCATATCAAATAAGTACAACTATATGGTAACTTCTGTGAGTCCTCAGCAAATCATCAAATTTGGTGGTCGTCTTAGGGACACCAAACATACATGTTTTCACCAATAGGATAGTAAGATAGGCAAACAGCAAAGAGTTTGATACTATACTAGGTTGGTAAAGGTGTGGGAAAACAGGTACTCTCATACATCACTCAAGTGTATACTGGTACAAGCTCTATGGAAGCAATTTCATAATAGCTATCAAGTTTTTAAAGCAAATATTCTTTGACCCAACAATTTCATATCTAGTCATTTGTTTGGCAGATATACAAGCATGTTGTTACAAAAATGTTATGTATGGAAATATTTAATGGGGCAAGACTGAAAGCCACAAAAGTTTCCAAAATAACCATGCCGGTGTGGCTCAGAGGCTGAGAGTGGACCTGTGAACCAGGTCATGGTTCAATTACCGGTCAGGGCACATGCCCAGGCTGTGAGCTTGATCCCCAGTGCAGGGTGTGCAAGCAGCAGCTGATCAATGATTCTCTCTCATCAGTGGTGTTTCTCTCTCTCTCACTCTTCCTTCCTCTCTGTAATCAAAAATATATTTTACAATAAAAAAATAAAACAAATAAAAATAAATAGCTCCAGGTTATGCTGCTGCTCCATGGACCACACTTTGAGAACTACAATTTTAGACCAATGCTGTCCAAAAGAATTTTCTACAATGATAAAAATGTTTCATATCTGAGTTGTCTAATATGGCAACTACTATCCATATGTGGCTATTGAGTAGATGAAAATTGCACAGCATGACTGAGTGTATTAGTTTCCTAATGCTGCTCTAACAAATTAACCCCAAACTCAGTGACTTAACACAAATTTATCATTTTACAATCTTATTTACCACAAAACGCTCACAGAAAGGATTTCACAGAGCTGTGGTTATTACAATTTCAATAACACCTCTCTAGCTCTAAACACTATTAAACACTTATAAAAACATATTTGAATACTTTCTTCCTAAGGAGATGACTTCCTGGACATCAATATCTTTTCTACAACAAAACAAAAAGGGGAAAGGAAAAAAGAGCAAGTACTGCCACAAAAAGTAGGGATACCCACTTGGATTTATAGGCTCCTCTGCTGTTCCCTCAGATTATATGAAAATTAGAAACTGTCTATACTAAAATTCAAACCAAAGTCAGCAATAAGATACTAAAGTTAATAAAGTAAACACAGTCCCTTAAGTCCAAGCTCACCAAACCCAAAACCAAAGATCATCTTTCCATCAACATCTATCACCTCCCAAACCGTCTACTTCTTTGCATAGCATCAGCATTCCCTAATATCCTACTGATGCTCCTCTGCAATGTTTCTCCCATTAACCCTCATTCTGCCATTTGAACTTGTTTCCCATTATAGCTATCTAAGTATGTCCTCTCTCCAAATACATGCTACACACAACTGGTGGGTTACTTCTTCTAAAGCAATCCTGCTCATATCACTTCCTGCTAAAAAAAAAATTTCCACTACTTCCCAATGTCTATTGAATCAATTCCAAACTCCTTACTTTGCTATAATACCTGTCGCCTTCCTTTCTAGCCCATCATTCATCATTCCAAGGTCTCCAAAATTGCAAGATTCAGTGAAACTGAGTTTTTGTTTGCAAACACAATTCCTGACAGCATCTCCCCACATCTATCTATGAGCTCATGAACAAGTCTCAATGTGAATATCCACAAGGTTAGAATGTAATAAATAAGGTTCTAAAAAGTCAGATGATATATTACACAATTAAAATACATGGACTTTGCCTGGCTGGTGTGGTTCAGTGGTTGAACATCGACCTATGAACCAGGAGGTCATGGTTCAATACCCTGTCAGGGCACATGCCCAGATTATGGGCTCGATCCCCAGTTGGGGGGTGTGCAGGAGGCAGCTGATCAATGATTCTCTCTCATCATTGATGTTTCCCTCTCTCGCTCTCCCTCTCCTTTCCCCTCTGGAATCAATAAAAATGTATTTTAAAAAAAGACTACAGGGGACTCTTTCCCCCTCCCCACGTGGGAGTCTGTGCTTATTCTTCAATAAATTTCCACCTTTGCTATACCAAAAAAAAAAAAAAAGACTACATCCAGTAGGGAATGGGGGAACCACCAAAGGTTTTTAAAGCAGGGGAATATCATGATCAAATGTGCACTTCAGAAATTTAACTCTAGCCCTAACCTGTTTGGCTTAGTGGATAGTGCGTCAGCCTGCGAACTGAAGGGTCCCAGGTTTGAACTGAAGGGTCCCAGGTTCAACTACGTTGCGGGCTTGATCCCCAGGGGGGATATGCAGGAGGCAGCGGATCAATGATTCTCTCTCATCATTGATGTTTCTACCTCTCTTTCCCTCTCCCTTCCTCTCTTAAGTCAATAAAAAAATAAATAAGAATAAAATAATTAAAAGAGGGAATGCAATAAGCATTTGTAGAGAAAAATAGGAAAAAGCCAGAGGAGAGGAAGAGTGTATTTTGAATTTTGAGGCTCATGGAAAAGGCTAAATCTAAGTATAGCAAAATCCTTGAAGAATATGTAAGGAGAAAATAACAAACACTACATATACTGAACCCTACATTTAGATCAGCCAGACACTGATCTAAATATTCCAAATACATTATTAAAATACTTTAAGTCCTCCACAAGTCCTATGAGATGTTGCACTACTATTAATTTTCCCTTTTACAGATGAGTAAACAGATACAGATGATTAAGAAACTTACCCCAAAGTTAAAGAGCTGGTAAGTGGCAGGTCTGGGATTGGATGCCACCTGTCTCTAAAGCCAGATGACAAAAATCAAGAATATCAGGGAGAAGAGCCTAATTTTTTTTTTTTTGAAAGGGGGCCATCTCCTTGTAAAATGGCAAGAAACGTTGGAAGATAACTGGAGTAAGGGAGGGGGGGAATTCTTGCCCTGAATGTCTCTGTCCCCCTCCAAAGAGACACTGAGTGAGATGGGAAAGGGGCTTTGCGGGGAGGGGAAGGTTTGGAGCTGGAGCTGGAAAGAATGGAAAAGATCAGAAAAGAACCTAGGAAAGACCAGGGAAGAATCAGAGTCAACGCCAACAAATGGATCCCTGAACCATTTATCCTGAAATTCTGCAAATAGCACATTAACATATGAGTTAGGGCCTACTATGTGTCACGGTTCTAGGCGCTGTGAGATCAAGAAAATTCTCACGACCACATCAACGATCACCCCAATAGGCGCTCAGGAAGACCCATTCCTCCAAAGACTCCCATCGGAAAGCCTGTAAGAGTACAACCCCAAGCGAGCTTGTGGCTTTTTGGGGGGCTCGGGGGCTCGGGGAGTCGGGAAAGGGGCGGTCGAAAGCGCAACTCCTACTTACGCTCGCCCCAGCACCAGCCTGGACCCTCCTCCAGGGACAAGAGGGACGCGAACGCGAGCCCAGAAGCTGCAACCGAGGGCGACGGGAACCGGGCTCCCTGCGGGCCCCGGACATCAGGCGCACCCACCCCTCCCCGACTCCGCCGCTCTCTTCGAGTCCCCGGCTCTCGGCACGCCGCCGGCCTCCGCTCGCGGTATGACCTCCCAGGCAGCCTCTTTCCCGACAGCGCTGGACGGACCGGACCCAGCCAGCAACTTACCCACCCGGTCCGGCCCAACACAGCCCGGAATCCTTTCGGTACAGCGAGGTCTCCCTGGCATCTCGGCCAATGCCAGAGCTCAACCAGGACGCGGAGGCGGGACTGCGCGCCCCTGGCCAATCAGACCAGACGCAAAGCACGTCCCGGCGCACACAACTAGTTCCCGCCGTCCGCAGGGGAGAAAAACCACGGTTGGCGCCAAACTCCAGTGGCCTTCGGGGCGGGGCGACGGGGAAGGGCGGGGCCTGGGCTGGCGGGGAAGGAGACGGGGAGCCTCCCTACGGAAGGGGTGGAGCCTCGGCCACGGTAGGGGCGGGTCTGGGAAAAGCTCCTTGAATGAAAGGGAAAGTAAGCTCCGAGAAGGTCTGGTCTTCGTTTAGTCCTTCGTTTAGTTCCAAAAATTCTGCGGAGCATCAACCACGTTCTAGACTTGGTGCTGGGCGCTGGCTCGATAACGATGACTAAGCGCTGTTCCTGGCCCTGACACTGGCCTGGATGGTAGGCAAACAGCTTATCCCGGGGGCTGGGAGCTTTGAGGAAGGATGCCAGTCCAGTCTGGGGAGGGAGAGGAGAGCTTATAGAGGGTAAATACCTGAATGATTGGATAGAACCTGCAAGAACCCAAGGTGCCCGTAGGGTCCAGCCTCCGGAGGGGAAGTGTGCGCCCTTGGCTGGTGAGGAAGTGAAACAAACCCAACTTCCTCGGCTACATCAACTTGCAACGGCCGTATCAACTTATTACATATTTATAAATTTTCTAAAAGGCCCCCATGTGGGAGAATATGTTTTGGGAGAACACTGGCTTCCTAGATTCTCCCCCAACCAGCTTAGCTCCTAAGAAATTCAAGATACTTAGGCATTCCAGGTAGTGAAGGTTGGGAAAGAGTCAAAGGCTACAACCACAAGGCGTTCATTATTGCTGAAGCAGAAAGCCTAAAGAGGGAAGCAGGAATCAGACCTTGAAAGGCCATGTATATGTCAAAGAACTTGGAATTTACCTTTAAATGATGAGGCATGGGGACCACTGAGGGATTTTAGGTTGTGATGATGTAATTTTCATTATTAAGATCCTTTGGCCTTGCTGGCCAGTGTTGCTCAGTGGTTGAGCTTTTACCTATGAACCTGGAGGTCAGGACATGTGCCCAGGTTTTGAGCTGGATTCCAATAGGTGGCGTGTAGAAGGCAGCTGATCAGTGAGTAATTCTCATCTTTGATGTTTCTATCTCTCCCTCTCCTTTTCTCTCTGAAAAAAAAAAAATACATTAAAAAATCATTTGGCCTTGAGAAGGAGGATTCTGAAATATTCTTGTAGTGATCCATGCTACAGAAAATGAGGATCTGAAGGAGATGGTAGGTAAGAAAGGAGGTAGATTTTTAAATATTTAGGAGATAACGTCAATGAAATTTAGCAAATGATTGAACGTTGGCTTTCAGCATAACATTCATCAAAAATGTTTATTGAGAGAGCACAGATACTTCAAACATAAGTGAAAATTTCCCCCAAAATTATCTTCCAGGAAAAAGTGACCTTATTATTGAAATCATTACAAAGTCATTTCATTGGAACTCTCTTAAATACTTTATATTGAATAAAAAAATAGTGATTGAGCCCAGCCAGCATGGCTCAGTGGTTGAGCGTCGACCTCTGAACCAGGCAATCAGGGTTCGAATCCTTATCAGGGCACATGCCCAGGTTATGGACTCGATCCCCAGACTAGTGGCCCTGTGTATGAATTAGTGCACACTGAAAGGAAATTAATTTAAAGAAATATTTTAATATTGCTATTCGCCCTTTCTCTATAATAGAAGTGTCAACCAAATTCACAATTGACAATGACAGATCGAAACACAGGCGTATGATTGGCACCAGCAAGAGCTTTATATGTATTGTGCATGCGCGAGTCAACTTAGCCTTTTACATATATATATATGAAACTTGCTTAATTAGACCTGCTTTCTGATTTAGCTAAACTTTTTCCAGCCCAGTGAAGCACCCCAACTTCTCTTTCAGGTAATTGTCAGCAACA